ATAGTTTTATCAAACACGGAATTATTCATTAATTTGAAAAAGTTTTTTTTAAAAGAATTTTAAGCGTTTGTTCTATATTTAGTATTAAAATCAATGTACTTTTTTTAACCAATTATCCTGTTAGAATTGTAAAACTCTACTTTTTTCAAAATTAATTAAAAAAACAACAACTTTTTTCAAAATTAATCCATTTTCAAGACACTGCTTAAGATTTTTATAGTGGATTACATAATTTTTCTTATTGTTTAAATTAGTTAATAATTTTTTGTTTTTCCATTTGGAGGGGTACTAATATCAGGACAAAAGGGTAATTATGAAGATCGTGAAGATTCTTGGGATAATCTAAATCTACTTCTAAGATATAATTGATATCTGAATTATCTGATATTAAGGAAACATCAATTGGGTTATCAATCCACTTGAAATCTTTATGTGGGATATATTGAGACATAGCCCAACCGTACAAGTTATTTGCACCTTGATAAATGATGTATTTGGAAACATCATTAGAATTGAATTTTTCATTCATATATTTGCTATTGGTTAAAGAATGACGCAAACAACATTGACTAATACCTCCCCGTATTCTTGACTTTACAAAATTGTACATTTTCATATCTGTAAACAGCAATAACTCTATTTGGGTGTATTTAAGCATCGCTTGCCATGAAAGACCTGGAGCAGTGTAAAAATTAGCAGGATCTAAATTGTAGATTTTTCTACATATTTTTCTAAAATTTTCGAAAACATTCGCTAATAATAAAACATCTGTTTTTAAGTACAACTTAAGATAATCAGGAAAATTTCTACAATTGAAGGTATTCCACACGGTGATCGCATGCTGGTAATCTTCATTTGAACAAGATGTGTTCGTAATTGTTTTAAAAAATTCTTTTTGTGGTGGTAAATCTTCTCGTAGTTTTTCCCAACTGCTTAAATATTCATAGGGAAAAACACCTTTTCTGATCATTAGATCGGATTTATCACCAAAACAATAAAATATTTTTCATATTACTTTTATCTATATCCTTGGCAAGGCTATCTGAGCTAGCTGCCATGGAATGAAAGCTATCCAAAAATCTAATATTGAAAGAACAAATTTCTTTGGGAAATATTTCAGTTATTCCTTATTTAAAGGAATAACTGAAATATTTCTCTGTAGTAAATTTAATGATTTAAATAGAGTATGATAATTATATCCAGAAAAATTATAAAAAAACACGGGGAAATATGAAGTAAAATATTACAATCAGAGTAAGCTGGTCCTCGATATTTACCACTAAATGACAATGGTCTCTTACTCTATCTCTAAAATCAAAATCCTTACCACAAATGTGACAGATGGTTTCCGTTAACTGTCTTAGTTCCTCATCTAGTGTCAGTTTCTTCATTAGTTTTATACCCCGGAAATATTTCAAATAAATATTTTAACAGTCTTCTATCAATCTATAAGAAGTTAAAAATTAAAAATATATTATAAACAACAAGTCTGAAATATAATAATAATATACTAACCTTTTAATAAAATCATCTGCACAAGTTGGTCCAACACATTCTATATATTTATTTAAAGATGTGTCAAATGAGCACATTATAAAGTAGGAGAATGCAGCTGGAATATGTTCCTGTTTGACCATTTGGTTAAGATGTTGAAATTGGTTTTGATAAGCTTTCACTTTCCGCATATATCACAAAATAGTAAAATTTGGTAAAATAGTAACAATCATATTACATTCATTTTTATGGATTTTAAAGTCTACAGAATTATACAAATGTTGTAAACAGTTATTACATATTTATTTGCGAGCTTTGTGTTTACTTAAATTACTGAAAAGTAATTTTGCTAAACTTTTAATCAATAAGAAAAGGCATTTTTCCTAATATTTCATTATTTTCCAATCCGAAAACGTTAACACTAATTATTGCATTTTGCTCTTCAAATGTTTTTATTTGTGTAAATTTGAATGGAAATTCTATCCCATCAAAATTTATCACCCAAACCAAACCATGATTTAGGTTTTAGTTTTCATTTTAGAAATCTTCCAGGTATTGATGTATGTTATTTTTAAAACAGTAAATATCAAAATTTTTGATATTGATACATGCTTTTTTATTTTCAATTTTTTGCTGAAGTCTGATATATCCTGATGCTTGTAATGGTTGATACTCATTAATACTTAGTTGTACACCAATAATTTTTAATAATGCCCATCCACTGTCTTTCTCCTGAAAATCTTCCTTGCGTTCTTGTATTTTTAAGATTATGTTTTCCAAAGTGTTCCTTAGATTTTCAATATTTAATAAATCTGTGTTTGAAATGATTTGACTGATATTTGAACATCGTCATCATCTTTATTCATGTTGATGTATTCAGCAAATAATTGAATAAGCATTTACTTTGAAACGTCCATGTTCTACCAAGCAATCTTCTAACAATGTAAAAATATTGGAATAGTTTGTCAAAAGAAAATCCAGTGGGTATATAGTTGACTCTTTCTTGTTTTCGAAGAAAAAGGTTTTCACTCTCCCCTTGAAAGGTGTTTCTATTAACTTAACATTTTCAGAAACTTGAGTTGCAGCATTTTTCTTGTGCGAAAATGAGCGCAAATGTGCACTCCTGTTTACTACGCTTTAAGTGTGATTCCATTTTTTAAATAAATTTAGCTTGACTATAGATTAAACTAATCACACTGATAGTTTTTCAAAACAAGATTTCAGTATTTATACTTTTGCTTTATCAAAATATTTTTTTTTTAAACTGTCAAAACTGGCTTTATCCAAACTGTATGTGCGTTATAATTAAGGAATTGAAAAAATTATAGTATGTGTAAACTTGAAAAATGACGTCAGGAGATTCCCTATTATAATCACATTTTGTTAATATTTAGAAATAATGTAAACATTTTGAAAGTTCCTTAAGTGTAGCGCTTAAAATAAATTTATTTCCTGAAAATGGCTACAATAAAATATATTGAGATTCGATTCCCATTAAATTCTTCAATCATTGAGGAACTTTTTTGTTTTTATATAAATACAATTGTACAGTGCTTGCAGCTTCATTAGTTGTTTTAACTTGATAGCGATCATAATGTTATGGATTGATTCTCTTAAACATGGTGACAAATATTGTATTTGTTCACAAAAATGGGCAGCAATGCCAATTATATAATTTTATTTTAATTTTATTTTATAATAAGTTCACAAAAGTTTCACAAGCTTCTTTTTATTAATTTATAATGTTTCATTCAAATTCTACAAATAAGTTTAATTTATTACTTTATTGATTTGTAATTAATTAATTTATTTCACATAAATTTTATAGGTAAGTTAAAAATAAGTTCAATTTATTAATTCATTGATTTATAATTGGTTAATTTATTTCACATAAAAATTTTTTAAGTTACTTAACAAATTCTACAAGTTAACTTTCTTAAGTTTTAACACGAACTAACTTCTTATCATTACTTTTACTTTTTAATGTTTTTTATTATTTTAAAAAAGAACAAACGCTTTACAACAACAATTATTACGTTTGCCATTGACCTACTTATTATTACGAAATCTAAAAATTAAAACTTAATTCATAATTTTTTATTGGTGTTTCAAATTCATTAACCTTTGTGCATACGTTCTAATGTTTCAAGCAAAAAATAAGTTCATTTGGCTTTTCGCTTGAAACATGAAACTTTTATATAAAAAAAACAAAAGGAAATAATGAATGCAAATTTTGATTTTAATAAAAAGAATAACGTTAAATTAAAAGGTAATGAAATTTAATTAAAAATGAACTTACGAAATTATTGAAAGGGTGAAATATGTAAGTTTCCATTAGATTGATACGAGTGTTGTGTTGCTAACATAACACCTCCGCCATTAAGATTCGACTCCTGGCGAATCTCGCCAGGTTGTATTACGATTTTTGGTGAAATTAATTTAAACTTTACAAAAACGAAAATGTAAATAATGAATAACACTGTAATTATGATTAAATCTAATATTAAATTCGTGTACCAGCTTTTGTGATGATTGAATTTCAATTCCTAGATGTGCTTTGTATTATTTATTTGTGTGTAATACAAATCATCTACATGAAACTGATTTGAAATTTTTGTTACAGTTATATTGCGATTTCCGTATGGTGAAATTCTATGATGATATTCTTCTTCGGAATTTTCTAGTTGGAAAGTTCCAAGAGAAATTTTTCAATTGGTAAATTTTATTAAGTTATTTGCTCGTATTATTATATCACTTTGCTGGCCACAATTATTATAAAGAGTAGTTTCTTTTAGATTTTTTGTTATAATAATACTTCTGGATATTGGTTTTATCTCTACTGCTAAATTTTGTTTATAATGGCAAGTCATTAGATTTGTGGTTAATAAATTTGAAACACATTCATCCTCAATTGGGATGAGATTTTTTTCCTGAATATTATTATTTTCTACATTTTTAAAAATTTTTGTGTTACAACTTATTACTTTATTAAAATTAGTATCTAGTTCTAAATTAGTATCTTTATTTGGTACCTTAACAATTATATTCCTAAAGCAATTTTCTTTGAGAAAGTTAGGTATTGAAATTACAAAAACAATTATTGTATCATTGAAAAATACAGAATTTCTTATGTATGGTAAAGTTTCTACACTTACATTATCAGTAATCTCTCAGCCCGCTTTGAGTGCACTTGTAGTAATACATAGTATAACAAAAAAAAAAAAAAGTATAACAACAAAATAAATCGTAAACGTACGGTAAACGATTTGTATGATGTGGGAGACACATCAGACAAAATAATAATGTCGAAAAATAAAAAACTCAATAATATTACAAATAAAAATTCCTCTACCACAAATTCCACAAACTTTTTTGCACCATTGCAAACTTTGGATGAGGAAGCCGATGCAAATAACTTTAATGAAATAAATAATAAAATATTGAAAATATCTGATATTTCTCCTATTACACTATTAAAAGTGTCAGCTAATAAAGTTCATAAATTTATGGTCAATGACTTGAATATAAAAGATTATTATATTAAAACTATCACACTTGGTATTAAAATATATTGTCTTTCAAATGAATCTTTCAAAAAAACATGTGACTTTTTACAATCCAATAACAGTGAATTTTTTTTACATGATTTAAAAAGTGAAAAACCTTTTAAAGCCGTAATTCATGGACTTGATAAAACTGATGTATGTGAACTTAAACAAACACTAATTAACATAGGTTTAAAATGTATTGAAGTAAAAGAAATCACAAAAAAATCAAAAATCAATGGTGATATAATGCTTTATTTAATTTACTTTGAAAATAAAACTGTTAAAATGAATGAGCTAAGAAATAAATTTAAATATATAAATTACACCAAAATTCGATGGGAATACAAAGTTAAAAATACTAAAAAACCAACTCAATGTTACAACTGCCAAATGTTTGGCCATGGTGAGAAGCATTGTAATGTTAAAACCTTCTGTGCCTTTTGTTCACAAAACCACAAATCTAATGAATGTCCTAATAAGAGCTCTCCACAATGTGCTAACTGCAAAGGTGCACATTATTCAACGGATACTACATGTCCGAGCCGGTCCGCTTATATTAATATACTAAGTAAGAATAAGAAAAATCAAAATGCATCTACCTCAAGATATCAAAATAAAAATGTCAACATGACTACAAACTACAATGCTAATTTTCCCAGTATAATTAAAAATAGTCAACAACAACAAAATGCACCGCAAAGGCAACATACTTCCACATGGAGCAATGTTAATTTTATTAACAATAACAATTTATCAAATACTAACAACAATATTTCTGGTATTACCTCTAACACTAATACTAACAATAATCTATTCTCCGCACAAGAAATAAATAATCTTACAAACGAGCTCTTATCAAAGTTAAGCAAATGTATTAATAAAACGGAACAATTTTTTGTCATTACTGACTTAGTAGCAAAGTATTTATATGGTCCATAATATGTATAAGCTATATACAATTACAAATTTATTGAATATTTACATTCTAATTTTTTCTATAAAACTTAATTTACTTTTAGTATACCTGGTATATAATACATTAATTCATTTAAGTGGTTGTATTAATATAATTGGGTTATGTTGTCGATACTCTCTTGAAACAAAACTCAATATTAATAATTTCTACAAATATTATTACGATTTTGCTTCATATTGTGATTTATTATTGCATTGTCTTTTTATCTTGTATTTTGTTTTCTGCAATGCAGCGTTGCCAGTGGATAAAAATGGATAACAATAAAAAGTTAAAAATAATTTCATGGAATGCCAGATCATTTGCAAAAAAAAGTGTGGAATTTTTCAATTTTTTAAAGCAGGAAAAAATAGATGTAGCATTAGTCAGTGAAACTTGGTTAAGTTCCTCCATTGGCATCAAAAATGATGATTATTATTTTTACAGAAATGATCGTATAGACACTAAGGGTGGAGGTGTAGCTATAGCTGTTTCTAAAAATATAAAACACGTTCAATTACCAATTACAAAAACTTTCTGCATAGAAAACATAGGAATTGAAATAGTTAATAATAACAATAATTATATTAGGATTTATTCAGTATATTTTCCTGGAAAAAGTGCCAAAATGAATAACTTGGGGCCAAGCAATAAAATATCTTTAAGGGCTGCTTTTAAGGCTGACTTACTTAAACTTTCTAGGCAATCCGATAGGTATCTCATTGGTGGAGATTTAAATTCAAGGAATAGACATTGGGGCTGCATTCGAGCAAATTGTTTTGGAAATATACTTTATGAGATCTCTATGGGTGGAAATTTCGAAATATTATTTCCAGTGGAACCTACTTACATTCCTAGTTCGAGCAGACAAAACCCATCAGTTTTAGATCTGTTTCTTACTACGGATTTTGGGATTTGTTCGCAACCCATTGTTCTGAACCAGCTCTGTTCTGACCATTTACCAATTTTCACAGAAATTAACTTTGATTCGACTAATATTGGACACACCTATTTAGACCACAAAAATGCTAAATGGGGGGTGTTTAGGAAATATTTAAACGAGAATCTCAATACTGACATACAGTCTGATTCTGATATCTGCAGTACAAAGATAGATATGATGATATCACATTTGGAGGATATTGTTCACCAATCCATTGAAATTTCAGTGCCAAAAAAATCTAAGGGAAAGCACGGTAGTGGTCTTCCTATAGGTATCTTGGATTACATAGGTAAGAGAAATGCTGTCAGGCAGAAGTGGTTAAGGACTCGTCAATTAATTTACAAGGCACAAATGAGTCATTTTAACTATATAATAAATGAAGAGATAAATAAATTCAGAAATAGGACTTGGAATAGTACTTTAGCTTCCCTAAAAAAGGGTAGTAGGCCGTTTTGGAATCTTACTAAAATTATTAAGAACAAGAATGGATTTGTACCCGCTCTTAGAGTGGATGGCACAAAATATATAACAACTCAAGAAAAGGCAGATATTCTTGCAAAATCATTTCTTTCTAAGCATGCAATATCTCAAGATTTTTATGATTCTGATCAGGAGACATTGGTACGTGGAGTAATTGACACAGTAAATTGTGGTAATATAGACCATAGTGAAATTGATCAAATTAAAACTGACGAAGTAAATAGTATAATTAGGAGTCTAAAAAATAAAAAGGCACCAGGATTAGATAAAATTTCTGCAATTTATATAAAACGACTACCATCTAAATGCATTGGGTACCTCACATGTGTATTCAATAGTTGCCTTAAGGTTGGTTATTTTCCCGGGTCCTGGAAGGCGGCCAAAGTAATCCCTATCAAAAAACCAAATAAATCACCAGAATGTCCACAAAGTTACCGTCCTATAAGTTTATTAAACACTTTTGGCAAAATATTTGAAAAACTTATAAAAAATAGGTTGTCTGATTTTCTAGACTCTGAGCAAATATTGCCAAATGAACAATTTGGATTTCGGTCCAATCACTCTACAATTCATCCATTGCTACGGTTAAAAAACAGTGTTAGGAGTCATTTGACGGGTGGGAGATCCGTGGCTATGTTAGTTCTGGATATTAACGCGGCGTTCGACACGGTCTGGCACAACGGCGTCGTTTATAAATTAAAAACTATAGGTCTAAAATTCTATTTAATAAAAATTATACAAAGCTTTCTCCAAGCAAGAACGTTCCAGGTTTGCTTGGTTGGTACTACTTCCAAAATTTTTTCAATCCCCGCTGGTGTACCCCAGGGGTCTGTCTCAGGACCTATACTTTATAATATTTATACACATGACATTCCCCGTCTTGAAAATGTAAATTTATCTATATTTGCTGACGATACTTCTCTCTATACTTCAGGTTTTTACAGTGCCGATATTATACGAAACTTACAAACTGGCCTAGATACACTGTATAGATACTTCATACAGTGGAAAATTACTATTAATGTTGATAAAACTAACGCAATTTTCTTTACTAGGAAAAGAAAAATGGAACTTATTCCTAACATAAACCTTACAATAAATAATGTTCAAATACCTTGGGTAGAAACTATTAAATATTTAGGAGTCCATTTCGATAAAAGGCTAACGTTTAATGCACATGTATCAAAGATCGTAGATAAAATTAATAAAACCACAAGAATTCTCTACCCGTTTATAAATAGAAGATCTAATTTATCTTTGGATAATAAATTAATAATTATGAAAGTTATTTTTCAGCCAATTTTATTATATGCTTGTCCGGTATTCCATGATATCGCTAAAACTCATATAAATAAATTACAGGTGGCACAAAACAGGATCTTGAAACTAATTTTAGATTTACCATTCTATTATTCGACTAAGAAATTGCATGACAGGTCAAAAATTGATTTCATCTCCGTGATGATTACTCGTTATACTAGTAAATTTTTTGATAAATGTCAACATTCCCATAATATATTAATACAAGAACTATCTTGATAAAAAAAACCTAATTTTCAAAATTTAAAATTTAGTATATAAACGTAGTCAATAAGCATTATCTAGTTCTAAGTTTTACAAAACAAAAAGAAAAAAAAAAAAACAAAAAAAAACATAAAATACAACAAAACTACAAAAAAAATTTTTTTTTTTTTTTTTTTGTATATAAGGTTTTTTATTAATAATTTTCCTTATACATATTAGTAATTTTAAATAAAAGAAATCAAAATGAATTAATCATATAATTTACAATATTTCAGTTGTATAGATAATAAGAAAATCTAATCTCTGTAAAAAAAAAAAAACGAAAATCCATGTAATGAATTATTGTGTATATTATGAATAAAGAAACTTAAACTTAAAACTACACTTACATTATGGTTATTGATTTCTTTGTTTGTAAGAACATCTTTTGGTAAAATTTCTAACCTACTTAACAATATGATTTCTTTAATGTTTTCAATTTGGTCCAATAAAATCTTTATATTTTCACTAATTTCATTTTTTATTATAAAAAGTTCAAATTTTGTTTCAATTTCTGCTATGCGATTACTAAAATTATTGATGGTTTCACTAATGTTTTTTTGTACTAAATTAACATGTTTAGTTATTGTTTCGACTTGATCTGAAATTTCTTTGTTGATTGATATTTGAGCGTTTAAGTTTTCTATAGCATTTTTATTGTTACTGTCTATGACTCTAAAATGTTCTTCTATTTCTTCACGTTCATCATTATCCATAACTCCAGTAAGAAATCGAAGACCACTTCCAACCAAATTTACCAAACCTCGTTTCGTAACGTGGTGGGGAATAATACTATTAAATGCATCTTTTAAACGGTTGAAATTGTGTAAAAGTGTAGTTGGGATATTAGTTTTACTATGTAATTCGTTTATGTTCAGTTCTATTTTAGTTATACTTTCCTCATACTTTGACAAATCTATTATATGCAAAATTTTGCTGTAGTTGTAGATAATTTTTAGTTCTTGTTCTTGAAACAAGATGTATCCATTACCGGATACCAATTCCGTAATTTCAATAGATGACTTTAATAAAACTGGAGTTGGGCATAACAATAGTAATAAAAGAATGATTGCTGAAAAAAAAAAAGAAAGAAAGGAAATCTTAATAACTTTGGAATTTATACTTCTTTTTAAATTGGTTGTTGTAACGAGGAAGGGTTTCCCTATTGATTTTATAGTGATCTTCACCAGAAGGTACCGCTTCGACTTTCTTATAATAGGGCTGCATTTTAGTTACCCTATTCAATTTTAGGTACCCAGATGGCCTTCCGAGGTTTCTCCCTTTGTTTAAGTAATTTATGTTTTTTTCTTTAGATCTCTTGAGACGATCATGAATAGCCGGGTATTCCTCTGGGGGAATTTTTCCGTTGAGGAATTCAATAGGTCTTCTACCGGTCGAACTATGAATCGTATCATTGTACACACGCATACTTTTTACTAATGGGTCCTCACCTGAGGGTAATCCCTGTTCTTTTTCGATAACTCCTAAAATTCTAAGGTGTTCGTTTAACGTGTTGTGAAATCTCTCGATGTCAGCGTTACTACTGTGATTGTTGGGTGTAGTAAAATGAACATCGATTCCCTCGTTCTCTAAATAATTTTTAAAATTTAAGCTGTTAAATCCTTTTTCTCTATCCGTAACAATTTTTTCGGGTTTTCCGAATGAAGCGATATATTGCATTAAACCGTTTTTTAAGTCGTTCCAGTTCCTTGACTTGAGTGAGATAACGTTTGCATGTTTCGTGAATTTATCTATAAAGGTTAGATAATGCTTCCCTTTGCTTTGAAACCATATGTCCATATGAACTATTTGTAAGGGCCTACAGGGTGTTTCAGTTATTTTAAATGGTAGTTTGAGGGGCTTCCTTTCGTATTTTGCACTATTACATATGTGGCAATCATTAATTATTCTTTGTATTTCCTCTATTTTAGGGAAATAATACCTTTGCTTTAGGTTTAAATAGACATCGTTAATGCCACGGTGGTTAGTTTTTTGGTGTTG